ATTGATACCTCAGATATTGCATCGATAAAAAAAATTTTATTATGTAATTTTCTTTTTTTATTTAATAAATATTATCAGTATATATTGGGAAAGATATGATATAAATATTACGTCAAATCACGTGATCATCATCGGAACTACTATAAGCATCAAATTCGTCATCGGTAAATTATATGTTGATATGAAAAAAAACTCTTTCCCCTTTTTTACGTTTTGTTAATTTTCCGCAGTAATTTAGTGCAAGTTTTTTTTCTTTTTTTTTAGTTTCTATTTGAAACTCTAAAGGGGGAGAGGCCCATACGGGCGCCTCAGTCTTATACGAGGTTTTTAGTCCTTCAATATCCTATATTATAAAGGAATATGTCTTCCACACCTTTTATTGAAATAGACTGGTCTTCCACTTCACAACATTCGTATCTTCAACTCGGTGACTCTACACCACCTGAAACTGGCTCAGATGACATATTAGTTAATACTGAGCGGCCAACAGTACTTTCTGCTAAGGATATTCTTTCCCTTGATATTGACGATATTTATCCTTATACGTACTCAACTCTTCATCTTGAAGACAATGAAACGGAAGATTACTATGATGACGAAGACTATTTTGAACAACTATTAGAGGCTAATTTAAATGCCGATATAGAAGTTTTTTACACACTAAGAAATGATATACCTCCTGTTTGCAACACTCCTTTAAGTCCCATACAGGACATTACTCCTTCGCCTCCTTTGGCTACTGCGCCTCTTTCAGAAAATTCACTCACCGCTGGGAAAAAAACTACCCTCTTGGTCTCCCTGAAAAAATTTCACGTGACTACGCCAAAACGTTCCGGTTATAACAAGATTTATGAAATCCGCCGATCTAGGAGTTTCTTTTTTGAGCTTGCTGATCATAATCAAAACACCAATGAAATTCATTTGAAGATACACACGAATGATTATCATATGAACACTAAACCGATTAGTTATAATAACACAAGTTCGTTCTCTAACAACAAATATCAAATCAGCTGCATGCTTACGCATTTTTTTTCATCACAAAGAGTTCTTCTTCGTCGTGTACAAGATAAATATTTTAATTTCCTCCGTAACAAATTATTGGATAGAATTAAGATCATCAAATCACGTGCTATTAGTACAGCTAATAGAAATTATTCTACAATGACTTTTTTTAATTTTACTTATAAGAAACGTCGCTTTTACTTTGGCATATATATACCTTGCCCTCATGTTAATGATCCTGAACACTTTCACAAAGACACACAATGTGGTATTCCTACCCCTTTTGTCATGTCGCAACATAGATGCGCATGCGTTACTCATCAACATATTTTTGCAAGAACACAATGTTTCAACAATATTAAACAAAAAAATGTACAAAATCTGGCAATTATATCAAAAGATTTTGTTAATATTAAGGCTTCTCATGCCAATTTATTATATTACAGATGGCTTGATGGTAAAACCAAACGTATTACCTCTAGACGACTGGTTATTTCGTATGACAGCAATATTCATGCTAGAGATTCTCTTTCTATCACCAAACGTGGCAATAGACATATGTATCTTATTTCTTTGTCTAACTTCAAATATGATTTGAGTCCTAATTTACGCATTCAAAAGCAACAAGAAATACTTTTTAAACGCACTTGCCGTCGTGTATTTAATAAGATGCGATTACCTTCCAATCGCAAAGCTAAAAATCAAGATTATTTGGCGATAGCGCGCAAATACCGTTTTTTATTTTTGAAATCTCAATATGTCAAAGTACCTGTTCGACATTTACTGTACAAACATCCTCATATGACCCTACCGCTGACGACTATCCGTTCTTGGTTCCTTTTTTCACTATGGACGCAAATCACAAGAAACAAATCATGACTAAACTCAGTCATGTGCCTACAGCACCTTTGGCACCACCTGCTGATTATAACCCAATCCCGGATATGTTCATACCTTCAAAATATCATGATATCATACCAAAGGATCCAATATATGTGAACGATCGTTATGTTGTTCCTGGATCTCGTGAATGGTTCACCTATATGTATAACTTTGATGAATCTTTCTACCCAGAAGAGGATAAAACAGCACATTATGATAGAAAAGGGAAATATATCCCAAGACGTCCTATTTACCGTTCACAAGTCATTGGAAATTATGTACCGACTCATATTGTAGAAAAAGCTCAAACAGAAAGCCTGGAAAAACTTAAGGCGACTGCCCTACGCAAAGAATCAGCTTATTATGGAACTACTCCCAAACACTATTATTCTCGGTTCAATACCATTAAATCTTTAACTGAGGCATCTGATAATTTCCATACTCGCATACCTAAATATTTGGCAAAGAGAAAAGAAAATCACGAATATGGTTTTAGTAACGCAACTTTAGATAAACATCTTACTAAATTCCTCAAAAATAATAGACTCCAAACCCAAGGAGCGATGCGATTCCCTACACACATAGTAGCCGCGGTATCTGATGACACAGCTGAGTTTGAAAACTGCCCGAATAAATGGGACAACGCTCATAATGATTATCATTATTTGCCATTTCTGAATCATAAGATGAAACGACTACGTCCTACGCCAGCTATTACCAATGACTCCCTGGCCCCAGGACCTTCAAATTCGAAGACCATTTAATTTATATATTATATATATTAGTATTCTCATTATTAGGAGTACGATACCTTTATCCAGTAGTTATAGCTACATTTCTGTTCTTTTTTGTTATCATATGCATAACACAACTCAAAATAGTGTGAACCACTCCACCTCTTACAGTATTCACAGGTGGCAACCTTGGTTGAAAGGAAAATACGGATCATTATTTTTTTCTATTTTGATTGTTTTTTAGATAGCCGCTAGTCTCTCAGATGGATTCTTTATAGTTCCCATTTGATTTATTAGCGTAGTCCTACTTTATCAAATAGTACAGATCGAAGAGTGGGGTCCCGTAGGGGATGACGAACAAAGGTCTATACACATATATTAGTCTTAAGTCTTTTCGAACTCTTTCCTCTTCTATTTGTAATAGCCTGGGTTTTAACACTCTTTCAGTAATAAAATAAATAAATAAATAAGTAAATTATATGTTTTCGTCAGACTCAAAATATTCCTTAGCGTTTTTAAGTGCTCTTCTCCAAAGTCCCACAATAACTTTTGAAGAAATTTTTTCTTTAAATGCATTTAGTAGTGTATTTCTAACAGATAAAAGGTTTGGATGTGGGCCTGAACGTGCAACTTCACCCTTTACAACTGACCAAACACCTTCAATAGGTTGCAGTTCGCAATGGTAAGGAGGGGTAAAATTAATTTCATGTTCATACTGTTCTGCAATTTTAACACAAGCAAATGGGACCTTTTCTTTGTTCATTCGAACTAGCTCCAAAAGTTCTGGTTTTCTTAATT